CCCCGCGGCGGCGGAGCGGCCCTGGGAGGAGGCCAAGGTTTTCTACGACAACCTCGCCCCCAGGAAGAAGCCCAAATCGGTGAGAGCCCCCGGGGTGCCGAGCTCCCTCCCTGCCGGGTCTCCCCAGGGGCCCTGTCCTTGCTGGGTTCTTTGGGTCCCTGTCACCCCATCATAGGGATGTCCCCTCTGTGTGCTGCATCACCCCAGGTACCCCATTCCCTCCAGGTCCCCTCAGTGTCTCACAACCTCCAGGTCCTCTGCGTGTCCCCAAGGTCTCCCTGGCTTTCTCCAGGTCCCCAGGGTCTGCTTCTCCATAGTATTTCCCTCACAGCTGGTGCCCCTCCTTCAGCTCCATTGGGATCTACCCCAGGTGTTCCTTCTCCAGGTCCCTCAGGTGTGCCAGGATCTTCCTGCATGTCCCTGTGTCTCCTCTTGGTCCCCTGCTGTGTCCTCCTGGGTACCTGGGGAAGCCCCTGGGTCTCTCCAGGTGCCACTTCTCTTCCACCTCCCCAGGGTCCCCCTGGTCTTTCTGGGTCTCACCAGCTTCCTGCAGGTCCCTAGGGAGCTGGGGGTCCCTCTGCCCATCTGCAGGCTCAATGTCCTTGCAGGGTGGCTCGGTGCCCTGCAAGCAGCCGGTCCCCTGTGCCAAGGCAGGAGGCTGTGCCAGGGGCCAGGACTGGCTGGGACCCCTGCATGGGCAGAGCAGGGGGACAATCCAGAGGCCAAATCCCGTCCTGGTGCCGTGGGGGGCAGAGCTGCCCCAGCCGAGTGCCTCATGTCTCAGCGATCGGAGCAGGAGCCTGTGTTATCTAACCAGGGCTGAGTGTTGCTGGGTTCAGAAATGTGAGTGCTCCTGAGTGCTGCCATCCCCCAGAATAGCCGCGTGGGTGACCCGCTGGGGACGGCTCCCAGGGCCATCTGTCCCAGGGACCCTGCATGGCACAGGGCACTGCAGCACTGCTGCCTGCAGCAAGGCTGGGAGTCTTGAGGTGCTGGTGCATTTCCATAAGGAAAAGTGTCCCTGTGTGACTCCTCTGGAGAGATCTGAGACATCTGAGACTGCAGGTCCCAGCTGTGAGCATTCCGCCTGCTTTTCCTTACCTGCAGATTGTCTGGAAACACCCTGCATGGAGGGCAGAGGGGCCTGCCCTGTGTGTTGGTGAGATGCACCTTGTCCTTCCTCCTGTGCTTCTGCCCCCTGCAATATTCCCAAAGCTCCTCCTCTTCCTCACTTCGTGCTTGCAGACACTCCCTGGTGATGCCACTTGGGGCCAGAGTCCACCTTAATGGGAGCTGCTGCTCCAGCGGCCTCACTTGTACCCAGCCCTATAGGTGTCCTGGACATCCAATTTTCCCATCTGTATTTTAAAATTGCCTGTAAGGACTTTGGCTTCTGTGACATCCAGGGAAGTCCTCAGAGTACAAGCTGCCATCTGAGTTCTGAAGATCAAGGTCGATCTGATAGATTCAGCCCCAAGCAGTGCAGAAGTGGCTGCTGCTTTGGGGGATGCTGATGGGGTGTCCACTGTGGTTCTGCAGCTAGTGAAGACCTACAGAGGTGACAACAGGAGCTGCTGCTGGCCTGGAGCTCCTCAAAGGTGATCCAGGTGTTCCAGATGCTGTCTCAAGCCACTGCTGCCCATGCTGCTGTGTTCCTTGGGCAAGTGATCCCAAACAGGATCTCCTCCTGGGTTGTGCTCAGAGGTGTCTCCATCTGGGCACGGACATGAGGGCACTCCACACGCCTCGTGCGTGTCTCATGCAGCGTGTCCAAACGTCTGTCTCTAATCCTGGGGCACTGCTTAGGGACTACATCCGATTACAGGGCTGATCTAAGAGCCAGCCAGCTGCTGGATCTGCGGAGGACAACGTGCCGCTTCCAGGCACTGCTGGGATCTGCCCTTGTCCCAGAGCTGGGGCTTGGCTCTGGGATGAGCCTTGTGCTTTATGGAGCCCTGCTCTAAGAATATCATGATGCTTTTGGAAACGGGGCTTGGCTGTGATGGATCTTCCAGCCGAGCACTGGTGTTTCTTCTTGGTGAACAGAAGACATTCAGCCTGTCTGTCCCTTGCGTGGACATCTCATCCATGCTCCGGGTGCTGCTGGAGGCAATTCTGGTGGGAATGGGGGTTTCT